CTAAAACGTTCTTTCATGAGAGTATATGGAGGCCAGCCCATCTGGTTAGGATTGTGCCTCGTAGCATATGATATGGTTTAAACTTGAAAACAGACTTAATGGATGATTGCTGAAGAAGATTTATTGAGAAACTGAGGAGCCAAATAAAGCCTGGCCAAAAACCCTAATAAAAGAAAATTATGCAATGTAATTTTTCAAAATATTCAATTTGATTTGATATAGTGTGCAGTGGAGTGACATTATAAGAGTTTACTTACTTAAAAAGGTATAGCAAGTCTTTTTGGAATATGGGACAGAAAAGATGATTATTTGACCAATTTTTTTTTTTTATTCAGTTCCTACTATTAATTCTTCCATTACTGTGAGGGCTTAAATCAGTCCCTTGTAATGAAACTGCAATGAAAGTGTTTTTTAAAAAACAGTTATTGTTGGAATGTGAATGTGGGATGTTTCTTTACTGGTGCCGTTTTTTTTTTACAAGATGATCATATTCATAGTTATTATGAATTAATTGCACAACGCATGTCTAATGTAGAACCGGCTACAGGAAAAGATAGCCCACATGGGCCAGAAAACACTGTTCGTTTTTTAATAAGCGATGACATAAGAGGATTGGAAACTTAAATTGAAACAAGCCACAAGAGACAACGCTAAAAGCCTACTCCAACCTTCAGCGAAAGAGACTATAATAGCCAGAAAGGACCAGTTTTGTGAGTGATAACATTGCTGAAAGACATCCTACCTTGACCTAACATTTCCACAAAGGGGTTTTACATGTTGCTCATGTGAACTGAGAAATGCCCTCGTCTTTACTTTGATTACTTTGTTTTTTTCATTGATCAATCATTTGGTTTAGAAAGTGCGTACATGCTACGTACTTTCTGCTGTTGTTTATAATACTTTGGTGGCAGCTAAATTTGGTTGCCCTCATTACATGTGAGGATAGGTGAGAAATAAAGATATCTGTCAACACTCTAGAGGTGCAAACTTGTAGCATAGAAAGCACATGCACCTCAAAACTATTCAATGGATTGCCATGAAATTCAGTGCAGACATGCCTGATCTCCACAGAATGACTCCTAATGACTTCGGTGATCCCTTGACTTTCCATCGAGCACCACCAACTGAATTTCTACTTGTCCAATAATACTATAGTTCATGACAGGACTAGAGCTAACATAGTTAAAATGTCTATGAAGATTCTCAGTCATCCAGGTCATAGTTATCCAATGAAGGTTAAAGTCAAGGGCAACTGGACTTGGTTGACGATACTGGAAGACGTTTCGTCCCTCATCCTGAAGAAGTCCTTTGGATGAGGGACGAAACGTCTTCCAGTATCTTCATAAAAGTCTGACCAGCTCTACGATGGCCACTGTGAAGAGGATCAACCCTTTAATTTAGATAACATCATGGCCTTTTCTCTGGCACTACCCTCAGGCCAACTTAATTTTCCGATTAGTGGCAGGGATCTAAGAGGACCAAAGTTGTTTTAACATTGTTTTATCCACTCAACTGTTTTGTTTTCTGGTGTACAGTATAATGATTACAGCCTTATTAGTCTTTAGTGTCTGTGCATGTCAGACAGCACTGAGAGAAAGGACCACAGGCTGGTTACAAGGGAGAATCTTTCTCTTTAGTTAATTGACAGGTGGAGCTCAATGAGGGAATGTGTACGGTCAGGACCAGATTATGAGATTACACAGAACCAGATTAGTGAGGTTGCTGTCTGGTAGGAATGTGGAGTGAAATACCCAAAACGAGCAGAAAGAAAAACTCCTCTCACAAAAACTGCATAGCCATTTGAACTGTAGTTTTTGCTTGTTTCCTGCACTCTGATTTGCCCTTGTCCAGTACTTTAACCTAAGGCTATAACTAGGGATCATATTCAGTATTGATTAACTTTAACAATTTTTTCCTCAATTAAAACATTAATTGTTTAGTCTATAAAATATCAGAAAACTCTGAAAATGACAACATCCTAGAGCACAGTAAGGTCATTAAATGTCTTGTTTTGTTCAACCATCAGTCCAAAAGCTCAAAAAGTCAATTTACTATAATGTAAAACCAAAACAAAATTGTAGAGAGAACCTGGAACCATGAAATGTTTGGGATTTTTGCTTGAAAAATGACTTAAATTATTAATTGATTAACAAAGTAAGTGTAATTGACTAATCGTTGCTCTACTTTTATCTTGTCATAAGGCTTACTTATCCTTCTTCTTGTATGACAGTTAGCGCTACTGGACCATAGCTCTTTGTTTACCGGTGTAATGGGTCTACCATTTTGTTTATATACATATTTGTTTATATGCTTACTTAGCTATTGATTCATTCAGAAGAAGAATACATGAAAACACAAAAGCATTAAGTGGAAATAAAACACTCTGGGTCTTTGCTCGTGCTGTTATAATATTCTGTATCACACGGTAAAAAGAGTTTAAATATTTCAGGTTTATGAACTGATAAGTGTTGACTTATAGATCAGCTTTGCAATCTATTTATATTTCCACAGTTTCTATGACAAATAAGATATTTCAATAAAGCATAATCAATAATATACTGTTACAATAATCAATAAACAGATAAAAATGTGAACATATAATTTATGCAGGGAAAGTCAGAGGAAAAAACAATAGGAAAGTGGAAGAAAAAAAGAGGAATGAGATTATTCCTTGAAAATGACACAATTCACACCTACTGCCCGAGTCTTGCATGTAATTGTGATAAAAGGATGATTGATGAAAAAATATTTTATATATCTTTTAATTTTATCCACTTACCACGCTTGGTATTGGACTGTAGTATCAGAACAAGATTAATGTGAAGCAGAAAAGGACTATCTCTGTTCTTCTCCTGACATTTATAGAGTTTCAGGCAATGGCATATGGAAGGAGGAGGTGAAGGGAGTGAGAGATGCAAAAGAAAAATCTTTTTTCTTAAACACTACCATGAACAATACCAAAGAGAAAGAGGCTAGCCATTTTTTGGCAATAGCCTAATTTGTTAACAGTAACAAAATTAATGTATCCCAGTTAAAATTATGATGATACATTGATTTTTAAAGTTGCTTAATTTACCACCCACAGTATAAGGCAAGGTAGGTTTTGGCAAGGGTCTCATAAAAACAGTAAAACAAACATGAAGTGCAAATTAGATCTGGATTATTCCCAAAGCCAGTAAGATTATTAAAAAGAGTAGAGGAGAGGACCAAAGTATACCAAATAACATCGTCGACAGCAGCCAACAGCAACAAGGGGCCAACAGTTGATCAGTTGGAGGCATGGAGCTAAGTGACGTGGAGAATCAGTGAAAAAGCCAGTCGGTAGGCAGCTATTAATAACAGAACCTACTTTCCCTCCTGCATGTCAACAATGGAGGGTCTTGTTGAGACTTACTGGTACGTGTGTGTGTTTGTGTGTGTTTGTGTATCTGCGTGGCAAAAGCTTGCCTTGTCATCACAGATACTTGCCCAGTCTACAGGGGCCCCTCCCTGCAGAGTGTTTGTTGGGTGTGTGTGTCATTAGGCTATAAAGGATTACATAATATTGTCTGTACGTGCATGTTGGCGGGTGCAACATGGTGGTTGGCTGTTGCAGCCACACAGATCAGAGGAAATCCTGTTTAATCCTTCCTCTAGAGAGCGCACAAGTTCAAGTTTGCTTATTATCATAGCAAGGAAAATATCCATTATAATAATAATAATCCAATAATACACCATTGGATAATAATAATATCCAATGGTGGTTTACCATTAACCACCATAAAAGAGAAATAATTAAGATAATGAAACAAAAAAGGATGTATCAAAGCACACAAGGGGTAATTATTTTAAATGCATTATGAATCCTCTTTATCAGGTGTTCATTCATTTGTGTCCACACAGTTTATGTGTGTATTTTAAAGTATTGTGAAGTGGGTCTGAGTTCCTTGTCCTAATACACTTCAGTCATGGCTGTCACACAAATGTACATGCACATACACTCTTGCCCACTACCACTGGATGTTCATGTTGTTAAGGGCATTCGTCAGGATACAAATAATCACCTGTGTACGTGCAACCAGGTCCCATTGAAAAAAGGCCACCTTTTGTCACAATGTATGTAGACAGTGACACGTAGGAAGTTAATTGTTATTAATTACGTGGACATAGAATTATTATATGTTGATATAATGTAAACTAAAAGTAAAATCATATTGAGTGTAAAATTCACAAAATTCAACTTTATTTGTACGCACATTTCAAACACGGGGTGGGATTCAAAGTGATTCACATAATGTGAAGAAATGCATTAGAATGACAAAGTCAAAAACAATAAAAAAAACAACTTTTAAAAAAAACGATCTCTCTCTCTCTCTCTACACACACACAAATATGTAGACCAATAGTGTTTCTAGTGCTGAAACGATTAGATAAACAGACGATTAACAGCCTTGTTAGAAAATTAATCGTCAGTTATATAGAATAACCAATTCATCTTATAACTTATTTGTCGAGCACAAATGCTTTTCTCATAATTATATATTGGAAATCTTTGGGCTTTGGTCAGCCAAAAAAAATTGTTATTTGACATCTTGTGCTCTGTGGACTTCACACTTATTTGCTATGAACACATACTTTTTTATAGTCTTAATGATGAATCAATTGATTAAGAAAATAAGCTAAAGATGAACTTATAATGACCTGTTCATTAGCTGCAGCTCTATTGGCTACAGCGCATAATAAATAGGCGCCTGTGCTCTCATATAACAGGTAAATAAAGAAATAAAAACACAAAAGACGCTTTGAAACTACTTCTAGGATGGCGGCACCTTTTATTATTGTTGCCATTTTAGCCCCTTCTGGGGTTACTATTGGATGAAATCAGGATGAAATGTGTGTACCCTGGTGGATGTTTCGGGTATTTATCTACAGTCTTGAGCATGGGAGGAGGAGGAGGAGCAGGAGGAGGAAGAGGAGGAGCCGCGTGAGCCCGCAGCGTCACGTGGTCCGCCCTCGTCTCCTGTAAACATCCCTCGCATTCACCTCCGGCTACTTTAGGGGGAAGGGTTGCGTTGCTTTGCATAGTCGAAGTGGGCGAATTCTTTCCACTGTGTATTGCGAATTAAAAGTAAACCCAGTGAAGGAGTAAGTAAGATACAACACTGCGAATATGAGTGTGAGGTCATGTGTCGAGGAAAGCTGCTAGTGCCTGGTTTGTTGATCAGAAAGCAACGCTTGTCCTAATCTGAGCTCGCAACCGCACCGACCAAATTAACGCCGATTCATAAGTAACGTTAGCTTTTTTTTTTTTGTTGGTCAATCCTTTGAGGTATTTTTCCTCCGTAGGTAATAGTGTAGTAGTCGTTCGAACAGAAATGGACCGAGGAGGCTGCCAAATGAGCGGCGGCGGCGGCGGTGACGGGCCCGAGCAACACGGGATGATCTCTCTGGAGGACCTGGAGTCTTTCTCCGAAGACCAGCTGTCAGACTCGGGCAACGGCAGCCTTGAAGAAGGAGGGGAAACCATGGAGGAAGACGATGACCGACTGCTGCATTACTGGCAGGACGTAGCGAGGGGACACCAAGTGGAAGTTTCTCAAGGTACAAAATAAGAAATACCAGGAAAACATTAACGTTTTGTTTAGCAAACATGTAACTTTTGGGGTTTTATTCCAGCCCTCTTCTTTGGATTATAACCTTCTTTGCAGACAAGTAAAAGCAACTAAAGACAGGTTTGACTTTAGTTAGGGAAAGTTACTTGGGTAACTTCCTCAATGCATACCACCACTGACTTCCAGTGAGGCAGCACATCTCCTGCCCCTCAGGGCCAAACTTTGGAGCGAACAGACAAATAAGATCAACTTCTAGCAGGGAGATGGACTGTACTTTAAAAGGCCAAACTACATCCCTAGTTATAGCCTTAGGTTAAATAACTACATGGTACAGGGTTAAGTTGTGTTCATGTGTGGTCATGGGATGAAGTAAAGTGAAGTATCTCTGTTATTGTGGCTTTGGCTCCCTTTATTAAATAGGGTTAGGTAAAGTCTCAATTACAAGAAAATTTGGTGATCCTCTGAGTGGAAAGTTCTCTAACTTGACGCTGTTGCACAGAAAGCAGGTGTTAACAATAAGAATTGAATTCACCTGCAAGCTAGTATTTCTATATTGTAATTGTGTTGTAATATCACAGACATTATAATAATACAGGAGTGGTATTACTGTAGGAGTATTGTCTAATACTAAAGCAGTAATAGTGTAGTAATACTTGAATGTGTGCAGGTGACAAGCTCAATAGAAAATAAAGAGTAAAATAGAATAATATGAGGTATTCTGTGAGGTATACACAGTAACTAGTTGTTAAACAAACCAAGGAGCAATTTATGATTTTGTGAGACCACTGTGCCCATGGATATTAATTCTCATGAAATGTGTTAGTAGTTCTCTCATATTTACAGGAATGTGGAATATCTGTAATTCGTCACTGGCGTAGAGTTTATTGAATTATTTGATTGTTCCAGCCTCAAGATAAAGTAAGCAAAAAAAAAAAAAAGCACATCGTCACAGTAAACGCACTGTTCACAGCTGCATCTAAGGATGATCAAACAGATAAAATAGACTTTGGTAAACACTAGATGCCATATGTTCGTGTGTTTGTAGGTGCATGTGTGCAGTCTATTTGCAAGCTTTCTGGAATGTGGTCAGGATGCTTAGAGTTAAACTGCTTGGCAATCCCTACACGAAAAAGATGTCGTCCAACAGACCAGTTTCTGGAACGGGGTCCGACTTGGTCTGGTTTAAATTGGTCTTTACAGTCTAATGTCATGTCTTTGAATTTATTTTGAAGTGGCAACATTTGATTCAGATTTCAGTAACTGATATTTCCACGGGTTCATCTCTGAAGTTGTAACTATTCATTATTCCAACATTTTCTGTGGAAAATAGCTTGTATACTTCAAAAGTACCCAAATTTAATTTTGCACAGTGCAATGCTTGTAGCTTCAGGAGTCTGATTTTACCATACAAGCCCAGACGTTGCGCACAGCTGGAGACAACAACAGCAGTTGTTTTGAACTCTGGAGCCTTCCAACTCACTGCTAATCACAGAGCCTGGAAACACAGACCACAACAATGGACCCATTGAGATTTGCCAAACTTCAAAATTTAATTCCTGCTTCACAGCAATATAATGCTGTTTTCAAAACATACTTTTGATATTTAACTTCACCTTTTAGAGCATCAGCGATATTAGAACTGCACTGTTTCTTCATCTCGCTGGAATTTTTTCTCCTGAATGGCTTCAGCTCTTTTACTACGTCATATGGTTAGTTGATCTTATTGGCTGAAGTTAGCCTGTGACTGATGGTAATACACAGGTGGTTCGTCCAATCACCTGCCATGTATTTTTTGAAAGTGCCCGCCCTTTTCCAAACAGTTGACTGGAAACAACAAACCAAATGAACATAAAAGCCCTCTTTCATTAGTTCAAGTTGTGTACAGTTATACTTGTTAGCCATGGTTTCCCAATCTTTGTGGCTTGTGTCTACTTAAAATGAATGAGTGCATTAAGTCATGAGCGGTTTATCCAGTGTGATTTTCCACCATAAAACTGTTCAGTTAAAATAACTGTTAGATGCTAGAAAGGCTAAAAATCTGTAAGATTTATTTCAATTATTGAAGCAAAGTCAGAACAAATTAAAATCATTTTGTGAAGAATGCATTTTTTTCATCTAACTGGGTTCCCACTGAGAATCCACATCCTCCTCCCTCTGCCTTCAGACCACAGCACTAATTAAGGACTTAGTACGAAACCTCTCGCTGGGGCTGTCTGACTCAGGGGGGGATTAGCTACCTTGTCTGTACTGGTATTGAGGTTGTGGCTGGTAAGTCCTGGACAACAACACTGAAGCTAAGGACACAGGCCAAGGTCGCAGTAAACTCCTTTCCTCTAATTGGAATAGAGTCTGGTAGACCAAGGTGAGGTGGGAGCTCTGCTTTGCCAGCAGTTACAGCTATCTGATTTGCTAATGTAGCTAATGCTACATATATATATAGCTTTATTCCCATTGTAGCTACCAAGTAATTGTTTATAAAATCCAGCACTGTATAAAAATAAATAAATAAATAAAAAATGCCAGAGATACCACCTTTATTGTTTAAATGGTATCCATGGCAACAAGTGTTATTGCAGCCTCCAGCAAACTGGGCAGCCATGAACACAAACATAGGGCACTTAAGAACCATTCATAGTACAGTATTTTATATCTTTGACCCTTGCAAGACAACCTAATGGTACAATACAAAATCCCTTTACAGACTGTAGGATTTTCATGCCCCATATTTTCATGAGCTCAGAGGAGCAGACACCATCAACTGAAAAGGATACATGAAGGGCTGCTAGCTCCTAAACAAAGATGCAGGCCAGGCGACACATCAGACATTCCCCCCAGTGGTTGTCAAAGTTCATAATGGAATGCAAAAATACACACACCCCACATTTGTCTCTGAAGCAATATGACTCAACTTAAGGTATTGAGTCAACTGACATGAAACCACATAAGGCCCAAGTCTTGACACATTATAGCAATTTAGTTTCTGGATGGAGCTAGTGTACCTGGTGATGTATTTGAAGTTGGTATACAGGAGATTATTGACAGTTCTTACACAGTTTCCTACACACCTGTCTAACCGTTTAGCATTATATTTCATTGCATTATGCCATGCACATTCACCACTTCCTATAGACAGCCTAACTTTTATTTTGCAAAAAAATGTTTTTTCCATTGATCTTTCAGCAAAATTTTACATATTTAAATACCTAAATCATGTGCTAATTTAATAAGAATATGCACTGAACCCTCTGTTTGCAGTGTTTCCCATTAATTAACGAGACCATGGCGGTCTGCCACAGTCTAATTTGCTGCGCCATAGTTTCGAAATGAACCGAAAATATTTTTACACATCTCGTAATAATATTTCAGATCTCTAACATTGTGTTTTGCTCACACACTTTGGCATCCGACTTGAGACAACCACTTGACTTTTGCGGTAACTTTTTCTGTCACTCGTCTGAGAAAGCGATTAAGATAGCTGCGCCTAAATTTGGAGTGCACACATATTAATGCCTTTTTGGTAAATCCACTGAAACGGAACAGTGCGAACTGACAGGCAGGTTAGTGACTTTATCCTGTCATTTTCTCTCTTTACAAAGACAAGTGTTTCAGTATGAGAGTCCTACCTAAAGAGAGGCTATGAAGTCTTCATGTTACGTGATACGAGAACTACATATATTTATCAAATTGGGTCGGACTTGATGAATTTAGCGCGAGGATACACGTGTGAGAACGTCCGGTTTTCAAAATAAAAACTGTCTATACAGTATGGAAATAAGACTACTTGGATTGTATTCACAAAGTATAAAACATGTGTGTCCATTAAAAGTAAAAACACAACAACAAAATGTTACTTATAATACTTATTCTAATTTTGTATTCTTTAATTTAGGGTTGCTGGAAAAACATTAAATACATTTTTGTTGCTGTTTCATCACCATTTATAGCTATACAATGGGTTTATAATTAAATATTTTACAAGAGTACAAAATTGTTTTTTCAAGAGTGCAAAGTTCTTCATAGATAGCCTCTTAATTTTGTACCAAATTAATGCATTTAACTTTAAGATGTACAAAATTGTCTTCTGGGGGGGGGGGGGCACTGGTTTGGAAAGTGGTGCTAATGTAGAACACAACGCTCTTTAAGGATGTGTAGCTGTTGAAAGCAGATTACGTACGGAATACCTCAAAATAATGTCAGTTTTTCAGAAAATAATATGTCACGTCACATGACAACAGCCCTGTATTGATTAGAAAGCTCAGGTATAAAATGAAGTGTGTGTGTTGACAGTGCGCTCAGTGTTGGCCGTTCTGTGTCAACAGTGAGCGGCTCTAGCGGTGCTGCCATAGAAGCTGAGAAGTTTTCTTGGGTGTGTGTGTGCAGTGCATGCCTGTATGTGTGGCTAACCATGCAGTGGATTAAAGCTGATGTGTTTTCTTCCCCCTCCATGTCTCTCTTATTGAAGACAAACGCATAAACTGAGAGGTGATATTTTACTGTCAAATATTTGGTATCCACACTGAGCTGCTCCTAATCAGTCACTTATAGTGTGACCTTGATTTCATGAGAATCTGCTGAACGAGTTTCGTACTCTCACACACGCACACCCACCCACCCGCTGCTTTGTTTGCCGTCATAGGATTGATCACCTAAATGCCACAGAGCCCTCTGACCCAGATATCCTCCGTGGTATTGATTGACAAAATGTGATTGAATTGGGTTCACCTTGAGTGCCTTATTTGACAGTTCGACAATGGAACATGATGCCATTACATGGGCTTTAAATGTGTGATGCGGGGAGAACTTAGTGGGTACGTTGCTCCTGTGGTCCACTCGTAGTATTATGCAATATGGTCCACACTACATACCGTTGCATGAACAAGCACGTACAGCTAAATTATATATCTGTAACACATGTATAATAAAAAAAAATCTATAGCACGTTTGAATTCTTATGGTTGGAAAAAAAGTTGTGTCACCGAGGCACCCTCTGTATGGGGTCAAACTACATTGTCGAAACATAAAATACTGTTAAATGTCATGTGGTAAAAAGGTAAGATATGCTCCAGTATTTCAAAAGCACTGGCTACCACTCCCTGCCCCATACCTGGCCTAGGGCAGCTTTAGTCAGTGTTCTCCCCATCAGCTCCAATAAACATTACACTCTGCGACATCCTGGCACAGCGCTGTGCCCATCTGGCGGCCTTTGCTCACGCAAACTACCAATGCTGCCAGCCTGCAGATTACTGGAAGAGAGGATGTTTTAGACAGATTAGAGACAGGAGACTGCAAGTATGGATATGATATGAGTGGGAAAAGGTTGTATGGAAGTACTGTATATGTACTCTTATGTGCTCTATCAAGATGTGAATATAACACATAGCTTCTTCTTTGATATATTTAATTTGTCTTAATGTGCAGGCCCAAAACGCACAGTATCGAGATAAGAAGCACAATTGCATCTCGCGAATGGCCAAACTTGGCATTTGTTTTCCGGAACAAAGCAAGCGTCAGTTTATTTGTTTGCTCTCATAAAAAAATTAAAATGTTTCTACTCTTGTAAACAATACTTTATTTTTGGACTACAGTTTAAACTGACTACATATTGTTTGTTTGTCTGTTGACAGATATGGCAGAGCCCATTCAGCAGCTAACCAGCAACAACCAAGGACGCAGTCAAAGAGAACACGTTCCTTTCACTCTCCTCGCACGCAAAGAGAAGGTGACCACGGCAATTTATCTATATACTTTCAGCTCATGTAACCCCGTCTTTCATTTTCATGTAAAGGGGAAAAGCTATTAAATTGGCTAGCAAGTACCTAGTTTAAAGTAGGTAAGTGTGCCTGCACCAGAGGCTAGACCTATATAGGACAGCCTTGCATTACAACCCAATCTTTGAAGAGTAGCAGTGAAAAACCTTAGTCTACACTACAGTACCAAAAGGACAGTCCGCTGCTCTCACAGCAATAGCAAAACATCCAAACTAGAGTTGTGAATGAACAAGAATACAGAAATAACTAAGATTAAACATGGTCATAGAGGAACAGATGATTCCAGAGCCCCTTTTTGTTTCTGCCATTCCAGTTCAATGTGATTTAATTGGTTGTTGGTTCATTTTAGGTCAGATATTGCCTTTAGATGAGATTAACATAATAAAAACTTTCATGTTATTGGCTTAACCAATGACAAATGGATTTCATAATACTGAGGTGCACTAAACATGTATAAAATCTTAAAAGCCTTGTACAATGATGGATATACGGTAACAACAAACACACCGGGCCTTTCCATAGACATCACGAAGAACCTCAACAGCATAATCTTCTGTCTATGATCACATGCAGATCTTCTGCACGGGAATGGGTCAGCTATTTATTTTCGGTCAAGATGATCGTGTCACCCAGTACAATAAGCCATCTAAACTCCTTAGGGGGGCGTATAAATAAAGAGGGCTAATTGGTTTAACTTGAGTTAATTAGTTCATTAAAACTTGGCTGGAGACTCAGGTTAAACAAAGGACAATCATGGAACCCTATTCTTAGAGCAGGTTTCAGTGCCTTGTTAAGGACAGCACGTTGACTGCAAGCAGAATACAAACTGTAGGTCATGCACCTGACCTACAGCGGTGACTGCATGTTTGAATAAAAATGAATGAAACAAACTTTTCAATACTTTTTCATCTATGTTAGTATTTTTTAAAGTTCTAAGATGTTACCTATGGCCATTTTCTGGTTATTTAACAGTAGATAAAAGACAACTGCATATTTACAGTCTGTAACACATACTGATGTAGCTGATTAAAAAAATCACAGATGTAATAATTACATTAATAATTACATTACACCATCTCCCCTTGTAAAATGTATTCTGTCGAAATAGAGTTTGTAAATGTGTTGGGGGGCACACTTGAAGTTCTGACTCAGTCTTGTCATCTGCACCTTTTCAGTGTGGGGAGCTGCTGTACGAGAAACGCCAATACGAAAAGGGCCACTGGGCTTGTATAACAATGCACGAGGACACTTATGAACAGAGCATCTGCTATGGTTTTATGAGGATAATGAGATACATCTGCCAGCAGAACACCATAGGTAAGTCCACGAGGGAGGAACCATTAAAAATTATCAGGTTCTGTCTCTTTTTTTCACATCTCCAGCCATGTCTTCATTTACAATTCAAATGCCTTTTTACTTTACATCTGTAGGCAACTACCTGGGCATGACGCTCCCCATTGTCACAGTGGTGCGCATGGATGAGAACCATTCTGTTATCTCCCGTGACGTCACTGTGGCTTATTTCCTCCCCGCTGAGCACCAGGCCCAGCCCCCACAACCTACTGACAACGAAATCGTCTTAGAGATCTGGCCCGCCACTACTGTATACACAAGGTCATTAGAGAAAAAAACTCTACTACTTATACTCTTCCTGAATTAAGTGTTTAATCGATGATGCTAGAATGAATGCTTGGCCTGTTTTTCCTTCTTGGCTTTGATATGAAAATATGATGCCTAATACTCACACACCACTCCCTTGCTTCTTCCAGGCCCTTTACCGGTCCCACCAATGAAGTGACCATCATGAATCAGATCAATGCCATGGCCGAGCTGCTCGACTCTCCTGTTGTGTGCGTCAATGACTCATTCATCGTGGCCGGCTACACCAACCCTGCCCACAGCAACCGCCAGAATGAGATCTGGTTCCTAGAGCGACCCTGAAGGACGAGGGGATTAAGCAGCACCTATATCTGTGACCCTTGAGCCTCATAAAGACTCCCTTAACACTGCCGAAGCCTAGCTACAGCCTCAGGTGCAACATCCTCTTTAGTCACCACCACTACCTGAAACGAGGAGCAGCCCAGCACACTCAAGATCAGTCGGGGCCTGGGAAAAAAAACATAATTCAGCCCTTACTTTACCCTCAGTGAATTTTTATTCATGTTCATTTAGATAGATTCACCTTTAGAAATGGACTAATCAACTGCCCAGCTCTCGTGGACACAAACCAGATGCTAAGGTTAAGCCTAGCATTCTTCGCTAAAAGATGAGATGGCTAAAAAAGCTTTCCTCAGCACAGCTCTCTTGTTAAAATGTTAAATAGTTTTAACTCTTAGCTCTCTGTGAACACAGTGACTTGTCATGCGGGGTGATGGTCAATGCCCAACAGAAAGAGGGGAAAAAAGGGTTTCTCTGTCATGATTTCAACTATCGCTGTTGATCCGCTCTTTCTTTATTATTATACTACAGGTTACAAGTCTATTTGGTGCCAGTCACACTGCATAAACAGGTATTAAGTTTCAACAAAAAGTGCAATAGTTATCTGATAACCAACAATCAATAAGCAAGTTAACAACTGGATAGATAACATCCAGACCAGAACTGGTGGCTTCATACATATTTATGAATGAATGTACAGCTACAGGGTGAAAGTATAAACAAATGTCACACTTCTACAAACCAAACGCTGAAAAAAAAACTCACAGATCTTACTGCTAAATGACAATCATAGCTGTACTTATAAATTATATACATCCTTTTCTCCTCAGAAAATGATGACAATGCATTCCTCATTGTTTCAAGTCTGTTCACACACACAGGAATAGTTACCTATGTACCTCTTTCTCACACTCTTTCTACATGCTACTCTGTGTTGACGTTGTGCGTGTATCCAAGAACCACCGCTGCCGATTAGAGAGACAATGCAACCAGGAGAAGACACAGAGCACAGAGAATATTTCTCCAGTGATTATACTCTTGTTTTTATTTTTTAAATAGAAGGAAAGTAAATTCTGTTTTTAATTTTCTATCACCAATCTAAGGAGAGTCTATAAAGTCAGAAGAATGTATGTTTATCTTCACTATATTTTATGCTAAATAACATGAAATGCGTCAAACCAGCTACACCTAGAGTTCACAGCAATGTAGGAATGTTTCTACTTTGGAAATTTACTGCTTGGGTGCCAGTGAAATAAAACTGGAAGTGAACTAGCCAAATCATCACTGTGTGAGGACTTTTAGCAGGACATGGGCATCCTATGAAATGCTTAGGCGTGAAGTTATTGAGGCCTATTGTGTGTGTAAAATTAAATGTTACATTTTGTGCTCAAATTGAGAGAAAGTGGGTTTTATCTTATTTAAGAGGGAAAAAAGTAAAACAAAGAAATTAACTGTTAAGAAAGTTAGTATTGGGTTGGGAAGGTTGCCAAGTCAAGCAGGTTGATATGAAGACAACAAATCCAAAGAATGAATACTGCATCAAATGATTATGGAGTTGATGCTCTATGACTGCTGTCGTGTTCAAACACTTGCAAAGCCATGATAGATGTGGGCAGGCTTTCCCTTAAAGAGCCTGGCTATATAGGAAAATCAAGAGTGAGGATTTCATTTCTTTCTGCTTATTTTCATAGTGTTTTGCAAACGTGCTGTACTGTGAAAATTCAAGTGCAACATCTTTGTTCAATAAAAAATGTGCTTGTCTCCTGTCTTTTGAAATGGACAATGATGCTGAGTTTTGTTGGGTATCCTGCACAACACAGTTCTAAGATGTGTTTCAATAAAATGGTGTCCAGTGATACGGTACGGAGGAGCTCATGATTAACCTCTTATTAACCAAGTAGTTGTTTGGTCTCTAAAATGTTGATCAGTGTTTCCCAAAGCCCAAGATGATGCCCTCAAATGTCCTGTTTTGTCCACAACCCAAAGATATTCAGTTTACTGTCACAAAGGAGTGGAGAAACCAGAAAATATTCAGATATGAGAGGCTGAAGTCAGAGAATTTGGACATTTTGGACACTCTAGTATATTAGTGTGCAGCCTATTGTACAATACAGTAAACGATTGATGGGAATTAACAATGGAGAATTTCGTTAACAGTCTTTAGTTTGCAGCCGAGGCAAAGGTACACGTAATAATGTAATAAATATTAAACACAATGTTTTCATTTATTTGGAATCCCACAAAAATGTCACTCCTAAATTACACACAACACAGGGTGCAAAAAACTGGCTTGGTCTCAGTGACTTTGATGTTCACTGACATTACACATATTTTATCTATAAAACCTCCACTCATGCTCAATAAAAACCTCAATGCTAAGAACCAAGAACAGGAGGCTTTTTTCTGGTTATACGGATGAACACTGGTCTCTCTCTAAATTCCATGATCAAATGGCCCAAAAAAACTAAAGGAAAAGCACACAACTGAGCCTAAAACAAGACTTGTCTGCATTTTTCTAATTTGCTTAACAAACATTAAATTCCACCTGAATGGCTGCTGCAATGCTCATTTTACACTTGAGTACAGTGTTACTTCAATTTGTGTGCTCTGTCTGGTCAAATTAAGGGAGAGCAGTGGGAAATGGCGCTTAACCAGCAGGTTACAGATGCCCTCCGGTCAGGGGGTAATATGACACGAAGGTGAAAAATGAAAGTCAAAGCAATTAAAATCACAAACAAGAAAAGCTCTGTTATTACCAACAATCCAAAAAGAATCAGAAAGGAAGGAAGAAAAGTCAGAAAGAAGATCTAACAGAGCTACAAATAATATAAAACAGGTCTAAATGTTCAAATGCCTGTGTTACATTCCAGCTGCCCATCCAGCTGAGGCAGATGAAGTGTAGCTGCACATTTACAGCACAGTACACACAGACTGTGAACCAACCCCGTGACAAGAAGAGAGCCTGTAGAGTCCGTTAATAATCCAAAACCATGTAGTCCACCAGCACTGAAAGCCAGACCACCGAGTGGGACAGGATGTTGCTTTCAAGACCGATCAATTCATTTAATATTAATAATTAATTAATAAAACAACTGACCCAGTAAGAACCACGGTGCCGGAGGAAAGACATGATGCTGAGATTATACAGTAGGTTGAGGATTGTTTTTTACAACAGGAGCAAGCAAACTGTGACCACAAGGTGGGAGCAACACACCAAAAAAAGTCATGCTCCATAATAATGAAACCAAGCCAAATATGACCAATGGAGGAAAGTTTGAATATAAAACCTAGTGTGCATGTACTTATCTGTGTGTGATTCTGTATGTATCACTGACAGTGGAAACATCATGGACAATAAAGATTGACAAGTTAAGTAGTTTGGTATCAACAAGAAAGAACAAATTATGTAAATTGAGTGAGCTTCTTCGCATCCCCCTAAATTATTATGTCAGATGTTTATTTGTAGGAAGAAACTGTAAGGACAGGGAGGGGTTTAGCTAAATATGATGCAAAATTGCTTGTGCCTACCTGCAGATAGCGCGCCTGGTGAGCAGAAAGGGTCTCCCCCAGAGGAACCACCACTTTGTCCACACTACGCTGGTGGGAGTGGGCCTTGATGTCTGGGCTCTCATCTGAACGTAGCTCAATGTGGGAGATGAGCAAATTGGAGATCACAGACTGCACTGACTGCAGGGATGGAGTAAAAGAAGAAAGATGCAGTCAGATTTGACAATAGTTTAATGGAGAGTTTCTGGGGTTTTTTAGGTCATTTTAGGCCAGATAGAGAAAGCGGATTTACAGTAAATAAATATGTAATGTATACTGTTTTTACCTTTGTATCTCCCCCTGGAGTTGCACTAAGGGCCAGGATGCGGAATTGTACAGTCTGGCCGCCAAGCTGTCTGATCACCTGAGTCACAGGGAGAGGAGCAAATACAGATCATTGTTAGCACATTATTTGAATAGTCCAAATATTTAACTAACTTAGAACTTAAAGAGCCCCCATATCCTCCTAAAAAACAGTAGCACATGGATATAAATCTTTATATAGTAAATTTCTGTTGAGTAACTAATGAATAAGGGATGGGATTGTTCATTTTGGCAAATCAACCCTGACAAATCAAGGTACTCGGGTACATTGCAGCAAAAGTCTTACAGAAATTGCCCTGTGCATTGATTTTCAACATTGGTGTAGTAGTACCACCAGAGATATTTTGGGGATAGATATCTTGGTAGACAGTATTTTGTCACCCAGTGCTGCTAGGAATAGGGCTGCACCCAAATCACAATATCTTTCAAAATTATTGCAATATGATTTGTTTACCATATTGCAATAATTTTGAAATATATTACGATTTGGGATATGATTCATTAGCAGTTGTGATCCTTGTTGAATCACACATCACTATTAAAATTCTGATCATGTGGCATTTGTTGAGGTCTGCACCAAACAAACATGTCACATCTGGAGAACAAGAATCATAGGCTATTTTTAAGCGATTTGGATATTGCACTTGGCCATTTTGCATTTTTGATAATATTTCGGTAAATTGTGCAGCCCTACTAGGAAATACACTAATAAAAGAGAATACTGCTGTCAAGATGCTTTGGCTGTTTCAAATCACAATACTATATCCCCAGTGCCTTCACCTGTGTGTGAGCATCCAGTGACATAAAATGATGATTAAAGAGGAGTGAACAAAAATAGTATGGCAATAACTTATCATCAGCTGAACGCATGTGGCGGAAAACAAATCTCCAGGTTCATTATGACATCTATAAAGAGAGACTTCGCATTTATAATTTAGAGCTGACAAATGCAAGGCGGTTCTTCTTCTCTGACATCATCACCAAAAACACTAATAATGCACGTGCCCTGTTTGCTACTGGCTAACCAACCCTCCTGTGTCTGTAGCCTCTGAACTTCTATCCACCAGGGCCTGCAATGAATTTGCTTCCTTCTTCACAGATAAAATTCAAACAATTAGACAAGCAATCAGTGCCTCCATATCAGTAACAGGATATGTCTTGTCTCTGTGTCCACTTAAAAACAATTCATATAGCATGAGACAATTTGATTCTATTAACCATAAAAACCTGGAGGACATAATACAACATCTGAAATCCTCCTCATGCTGTCTTGATATTCTGCCAACAGGTTTTTTTAAAAATGTGTCTAAATGCATGGCCTCAGATTTACTACAAATTGTCAACATGTCTCTCCTCTCAGGTTTTGTGCCCCAGGCCCTGAAGACTGCAGTCATTAAGCCACTCTTAAAAAAGAGCAATCTAGACAGTTCACTAATGAGCAATTATAGGCCCATATCAAATCTCCCATTTTTAAGTAAAATCATTGAAAATGCTGTTTTTCCAACAGCTTAGTGCTTTCTTGGCACTAAATAACTGTTTTGATGTCTTACAGTCAGGTTTTCGACCACACCACAGCACTGAGACGGCTCTTGTTAAGGTCTTCAATGACATCCATTTAAACACTGACAGTGGCAGAATTTCAGTCTTAGTATTATTGGATCTCAGTGCTGCATTCGACACGGTCGACCACAACATATTACTAGACAGACTTGAAAACTGGGTTGGACTTTCTGGCACAGTACTAAAATGGTTTGAATCCTACTTAAAGAACAGGGACTACTTTGTGTCTATAGGTAATTATACATCTGAGCTGACAAAAATGACATGTGGAGTTCCCCAATGCTCCATTCTGGGACCTCTTTTGTTTAACATTTATATGCTTCCACTGGCTCAGATTATGAAAAACAACAAAATATGTTGCCATAATTATGCAGATGACACACAGATTTACATAACCATTTCACCAGGGGACTATGATCCCATACAGGCGCTGAGTAACTGTATTGAGCAGGTCAACGATTGGATGTGCCAGAATAAGATAAGATAAAACTGAAGTTACTGTTTTTGGAGCCAGGAAGGAACAATTGAAAGTCAGTGCTCGACTTCAATCTGTAATGTTAAGAACCACATATCAAGCCAGAAATCTTGGTGTAGTCATGGACTCAGACCTGAATTTGAGGAGCCATATTAAGACAATTACAAAGTCAGCCTACTATCACCTGAAGAATATATCAAGATTAAAGGACTTATGTCTCAGCAGGACCTGGAAAAGCTTATCCATGCATTTATCTTCAGTCGACTCGACTACTGTAACAGTGTCCTTACAGGGCTCCCTGAGAAATCCATCAGACAGCTGCAGCTGATTCAGAACGCTGTTGCTCGAGTCCTCACTAAGACCAAAAAGGTGGATCACATCACTCCAGTTCTGAGGTCTTTACATTGGCTTCAAAGAATTGATTTCAAAATCCTGCTGTTAGTTTATAAAGCACAAAATGGTTTAGGGCCAAAATACATTTCTGATCTTCTGCTTCGTTACGAACCATCCAGACCTCTCAGGTCGTCGGGGGCAGGTCTGCTTTCTGTCCCCAGAGTCAAAACTAAACAAGGAGAAGCAGCATTCAGTTATTATGCTCTGTATATTTGGAACAAACTCCCAGATAACTGCAGGTCTGCTGAAACTGTCAGTTCTTTTAAATTAAGACTGAAGACTTTTCTTTTTACCATTGCTTTTAATTAAATATTTAAGATTTTTCTTTTTATTGATAACTTACTCTGCACTGTAACTTTTACTGTCCTGTTTTCTTTGTTTTTAGCTTTTTATCATTGCTTTTAATTAAATATTTCCATTTAACTCTTTTAACCCTGATTGTAACACTGTAACTTTTATTATATATTTTATGTTGCTTTTCAACTTTTTTTATATTTCCCTGTTGCTTTTATGTTTTATGTAAAGCACTTTGAATTACCTTGTTGTTAAAATGTGCTATACAAATAAACTTGCCTTGCCTAAAGTATGACCACAGCCTCCATTGTCTGCAACAGATTTTTAGCAACCACCTTTCAAGTTTGTAAGAGTGAGTGTTACTTTAAAATCGTTATTTAGTTAGTAATTTATTACTTCAAAGTGGCTTAACCGTATTGGCAGCAATGACATATATCTGATTAGTGACAGGTTAGTGTACCTGACAGTAGGCATGGTTGCCCAGAGCCTTGTGGGCTTCATCAATCACCACACATTTGACGTGCTGGGCCGGGCAGGTCTGTCTGGACAGATCATTCACCATGACCTGAGGGGTGAGGAAGAAGACACGCTTGGTCCTCCACACCTCCTGTCTCTGCTTTGCTGCCGTGCTGCCTGCAAATAAAGACATGGACTACATGTTAGTAACGGCTAAAAGACGAAAAGTGAGCCCCGTGGTTTCTGTGTCATGATTGTTACCTGTCAGCTCAGCCATGTGTGCCTGCGGGATCCCCATCACTTTATAGCAGGCCTCGATCTGTTGTGCCACCAGAGGTTTGGTGGGAGCCATGAATACAATCTTCCCGGATGGATACCAGCGGTAGAAGTTGTACATAACCACAGAGGCTATAAAGGTCTTTCCAAGACCAGTGGGAAGACACACTAGCGTGTTCTGAAACAGAGCAACCTCTGATATCTTCAGCTGGTACTCCCTGATGGGATAGTTGGTGGGGTAAATCCACACCTTAGCTGAGGAGCTGTCAAAGCCAGGGAAATCTGGATATGTCTGCTCACATGACGGGATGGGAGAGAGGGCAGTGCTCTCTGTTCCTTCAGGGTTGGCATATTGGCATACCTGGAAAGAGTTTGCATTATCAAGTTGCAGGCTCCTTTCAGCTTCATAAACAGCGACCACCATCAGATCATCATCGTCATCTTCATCCGCAGGGTTAAAGTCCTCTTTCCTCACTGGGTTCTCTGATGTGTACTTGGACCGCTGACCTATTTCAGTCCATAGAGGACTTCGAGCAGGGTGTGTTGGAGCTACCTGTGCTGAGTTGCTTGGAGTTGTTTTGTGCCGTCCAGCGGCATTCTTGACATCTTTTTTCGGTTGCACAACTTTGATTTGAGAAACAGGTGCTCCCCAAGTCTGGAACAAAGTCCTCTGATTTGAACCACTACTCATTTTCATAAGCTGTGGCGAAAAACTTTGAGAGAAAGTGGCACGTGAGGAGCAGCAACATTGCAAACTGAATATATATAAACACGGGGTCACTTCCGCCGACGTTTTACCAAAATATAACACCACATATATCACGACGGTTTTACTGGAGTTGTCGCGTTCATTTTAATACAATTTCAAGTGTAATGTTATTTCAAGTGGTCACTGTCACTAACAATACTGACTCCAACATTGTAAGCTAAAAGCTAAACTGGTACACTACGTGGTAGACTACAAGGAGGCTTTTACTTTTTGAGTGTGACCCCGGAACAAAATCATAAACTCGAGTTCATCTCCCGCTCTCCGGGGCAAGATCGCTATGTTACCGAAGCAATGGACAGATGTAAATGGGAGAAGATACTCACCTGTTTTCAGGTAATGGCGTTATCTAATTAGCATGCCAAGTTGTGTCTTTATAGCTGCACTAATTTGTAGTCAATTGTTTAGTTTTTTTGCTAGTTTGGGCTAAAGCAACCGTTGCTAACTCTGGAAGACTGTTGCTAATAGCTATTGTTGTTGTTAACATTGACGTAACTAAAGTTAGCTATCAGGCTATCGGGGGACAAGTTGCCGTTACTAGTAGTTGCAAGTTATTATATAGTTATTGACTGATTCATTTTCAGCCTTTTTATGAGTTTAAAATTAGTGTGTATCAGACGGAATTTTCGCAGCAAGCGTGGGAAGACAAACTGACAGAGTGGGAAATCACCTTATACTACTGGCACAGTCAGCTTTAAAGTGACAGCAGTACCAGCCAACTGCTGCATAGACTTCCATGGGAAATGAGACCTGAACTTTCAGGAGGGAGGCAGAAAGGTGGGCATTTGTAACTTTACCTTTCTGGTGTGGATTTCTCACACTACAGACAAAAAACTCACACAGTATCTTCAGGTGGGTCTTATCTCTCTTAGAGTATGTTTATGTAGGTGAGGTGGTTAGGTGTTTGGTAGAAGCAGTGGAATAAGAGATGTGCTTCAGCGTCTGCTTTTCAACAATTCTTACAATATTCCACATCTTTTATACATTTGTACTATTCAACTTTTTTCAACTTTTCAAGCCAGCAATTCAGTTTAGCACAAGCCTTTCAAAAGACAGCGTTCACACCGCAATTATTTCATAAATTCCTTTTTATAGTTACTGTAACTCTCCTACTATCGGTAGGCATCTGCACGTGGATACTTGGTGAGAAACGAAGTCAGCCGTGCCCGAGAAGACTTTGAAGGCATTGTGAAAGAGATTGATGGAGGCTTGAACCATCTAGAGTGGGTGCAGACGGTTATCCCCATTCCCCACTTCACAGACACTGTAAGTCCCTGTAGCTGTAGTTGAGAGTGTGATTTAATCAGCTTGTCGGCACTTCTCTCATGCTTTTGCTCATGCATTGTCAGGATGGCCCGTTTCTACAAACCAGCAGCTCTGCCAGCAAGCCTTCAAATCCAGGACTAGATGCCTGTGCCAGTCCCCAGAGCTTATCATCATCCGCAGTAGCACCTTTATCAGAGGAGAGAGGAGATTGTGTCCTGCTAGAAGCCGAGAGAGATGATTCACAAACCAAAGGACAGGCCTCTCTGTTTGAAGACAGTTTCCCGAGCAGCAATGTTAGAGGGGATGGACAGAAAGAAAGCATTGTGGGGGATAAAGATGGAGGGCTGATGGAGAGCACAGGAGACTCCACCACCATCTGGAGCAGTTTGGAGCTGGACATGAACTATGGTCACACTCAAAAAGGTGAGAGTTGTGTACATTGTGGTAGTGCTGCCTGCTCATTTTATGTGTGTGCAAGGTGTTTTGAAATGAGATGACTTTTACTTTATGTGTCTGCATTAGGGGTGCACAATATATTGACTCCATAACGTTATCACAATATCACGTAGCGACATATATTATCCAATGTGGTGCCAAAAGTATGCAATAATCTGTTTGTAGAGAGATGCATCTGTTGGATGTGTGGCATAGTTGTGTCTGATTTAGGGCCCTCTTGAAACAGTGATATAATGATCATGTTTCATTGGCCAGTTGCCCTGTCACATGCAATTTGTGAGCACACGGGTCCATTACACAAACATACCCTATGAAGCATACCCAAGACATGTGTGCATAGTTAGAAAGTGTGTGAGTGAAGAGGGAGAGTAACGGGGGGGGGGGGGGGAAGCAAAACGAGTCAGAGGAGCAACAGAAAAGAAGATGAGTGTAGCTCAGGTAGACAATGAAACAATGGAGGAAATGTATCACAAACAGGGCACATCCACCTGTGTTTTTACATATGTTTAAGAATATCGAAATTAATATTGTTATCACAATATTACATTTTGTCATTATTGTGCAACCCTAGTCTGCGTGTATTATTCATTTATAATATTTTCACAATCACTTAATCCTGTGAAATTTCAGAAATAGTGTGACAAATGCCCATCGCAATTTCCAATACCGAACGGAGATGCCTTCAAATTGCTTGTTTTGCCCTTCCAACTGTTCAAAAGATAAAGATATGTAATGTATGTAGAAAATCCTTATATTTAGAATCTTGAAACAGCAAGTATTTTGGCATTTTTTCTTGGTTCATTGTTTCCCAAAGCTCCAAGATGACATCCTCAAGTGTCCTGTTTTGTCCACAACCCAAACATATACACTGCTCAAAAACATAAAGGGAACACTAAAATAACACATCCTAGATCTGAATGAATGAAATAATCTCATTAAATACTCCTTCCTTTACATAGTTGAATGTGCTGACAACAAAATCACACAAAAATTATCAATGGAAATCAAATTTATCAACCCATGGAGGTCTGGATTTGGAGTCACACTCAAAATTAAAGTGGAAAACCACACTACAGGCCGATCCAACTTTGATGTAATGTCCTTAAAACAAGTCAAAATGAGGCTCAGTAGTGTGTGTGACCTCCACGTGCCTGTGTGACCTCCCTACAACGCCTGGGCATGCTCCTGATGAGGTGCCAACTCCTGGACAGTCTGTGGTGCAACGTGGCGTTGGTGGATGGAGCAAGCCATGATGTCCCAGATGTGCTCAATTGGATTCAGGTCTGGGGAACGGGCGGGCCAGTCCATAGCATCAATGCCTTCCTCTTGCAGGAACTGCTGACACACTCCAGCCACATGAGGTCTAGCATTGTCTTGCATTAGGAGGAACCCAGGGCCAACCGCACCAGCATATGGTCTCACAAGGGGTCTGAGGATCTCATCTCGGTACCTAATGGCAGTCAGGGTACCTCTGGCGAGCACATGGAGGGCTGTGCAGCCCCCCAAAGAAATGCCACCCCACACCATTACTGACCCACCGCCAAACCGGCCATGCTGCAGGCTGTTGCAGGCAGCAGAACGTTCTCCACGGTGTCTCCAGACTCTGTCACATCTGTCACATGTGCTCAGTGTGAACCTGCTGTGAAAAATTTGTGAAGAGCACAGGGCGCCACTGGCGAATTTGCCAATCTTGGTGTTCTCTCTGCACGGTATTGGGCTGTAAGCACACTGTGGACGTCGGGCCCTCATACCACCCTCATGGAGTCTGTTTCTGACCGTTTGAGCAGACACATGCACATTTGTGGCCTGCTGGAGGTCATTTTGCAGGGCTCTGGTAGTGCTCCTCCTGCTCCTCCTTGCACAAAGGCGGAGGTAGCAGTCCTGCCCTCCTACGGCCTCCTCCACGTCTCCTGATGTACTGGCCTGTCTCCTGGTAGCGCCTCCGTGCTCTGGACACTACGCTGACAGACACAGCAAACCTTCTTGCCACAGCTCGCATTGATGTGCCATCCTGGATGAGCTGCACTACCTGAGCCACTTGTGTGGGTTGTAGACTCCGTCTCATGCTACCACTAGAGTGAAAGCACCGCCAGCATTCAAAAGTGACCAAAACATCAGCCAGGAAGCATAGGAACTGAGAAGTGGTCTGTGGTCACCACCTGCAGAACCACTCCTTTATTGGGGGTGTCTTCCTAATTGCCTATAATTTCCACCTGTTGTCTATTCCATTTGCACAACAGCATGTGAAATTGATTGTCAATCAGTGTTGCTTCCTAAGTGGACAGTTTGATTTCACAGGAGTGTGACTGACTTGGAGTTACATTGTGTTGTTTAAGTGTTCCCTTTATTTTTTGAGCAGTGTATAAAGTTTACTGTCATGGAAGCATATTTACATTTTAAAAGCTGAAATCAGAGACATTGGTCTCAGAACAGTGAATTGATTATCAAAATAGTTGGCAATTCATTTAATAGTTTACAACTAATCGATTAAGCGACTTATCGTTGCAGCTCTAATCAAAACTGTTTATCTTCACAGCTGTATTCTAACATTAACTTATCTCTCCTTATAAGCTAGGCTCCTTACATGCTTGCAAATAACTTTTTTTTAAGCTGGGTCTCTGACATTGACAGCGTTGTGTTGGACAGATTTGTGCAGCTGTGTTCATGAGAGGGACGAGCGAGAGGATGTGCTTCGCGAATACGCGCTGCCTGCAGCTGTGCAATCATATACGATTTTAAATAGGCCTAGTAAAAAAAATCAATATGTGGCAGTCAGCGTTGATATTGTGGCTGGCCGCCACGATTAAATGAACATATGGGAAACACTGCTTCACACCATGAATTGTTCAGCACCTCCTTTGACGAGTAAGCACTACAAATTATATCAGTCTATAACATACATTTCGTATATGATGGAATATTTAGGTCTTGGTCCTAAAATAGCTTCAAATTAGCATTACATTCAAGTAGAGTTATCTCACATCATTGGGAAGTCTTTCACTTGTTAAAGAAAAAGGTAAAAGGTGAAGAAGAAACAACAATAAGTATTTCCCTACAAGATTTAGGAAAGTATACTTTTTTTGTAATGCACATGTTGAACTTGTGTGGTTACTTCTCCTGTATTGAAAAGACCTTATTAGTCATTTTGAATTTTTTCATCCCCTCAGGTGCCCGGCAGTACTGCTTGGCCCAGGAGGTGCCCTGTACCCAAGAGGCCCTGCGTCTGCAAAGAAACACCCTTACCATGGAGCTGCTCTGGCTCCAACAGGCCATTGACAGCAGGAAAAAGGTAAGATGGATGAAGGGAAAGATGTAGTGTTTCACTACATTTATTCCGCAGTGGCAATCTCTTGCTGTAAGAAAATTGCCTCTGCTGCAAGACTATATTTATTTTCTCCAAAAACAAGTCTCTACAGTGGGCCCAAGAAACATCAGTTCTACTAGATTAGAAAAGTAACTCCATTGGAAGTATCTGAATAATAACCGATAGCATCAGTATCTACATATTGAGTAAAATCAACAAGTCTTGAAGGATGTAATGAAGGCTGTAGCCCTATACTTACACACACAGAGACTGAAGCTGGATTTAGTGTTTTTTCAGTGTAATGTTGTTTCCGAGCTCGTTCAGCGGCCTGCACTCCAGATTGTGAACCCATTGAATCCCTTAATTTATTTTTAACAAAGTGAATGTCCTCATGAATCCTGCCTCACTACTTCCACGAAGCACCCTGCAGCTCCAGAGGGTGTAAAGTTGCCAAGATGTGTAAACCGCAACTGAACTCCAGAGAGAACACAGGACTTGCTCAACGCAATTTTTAAATGTTAAAATGTACACAGAAAATCTTCATTGAAAAGAAAAAACCTCAGAGGAATCCTACTGAAACATTTGAATGTAATAATTTCTATAACTATATCGTCCAAAATGTGTTATGGATTTGTTGTCATGCACTGAAAGTTCAACCAACCACTTAGATTACAAGGTGTAACATGGCAGAAAAAATACTTTTAATGATTGTTTTTCACTTCTTTCTTTTTCCTATACAGTACTTGTCACTGAAGAATAGACTGAGCATATCCTGACAGCAGAAGTAATCTGAACTGGACTTGTTTGGTGGGACTGAAGGCCTGACTGCGGTCAGTCAAACTGAAGCATCATCTGTTTAAGCTATTCATTTTTACTCATTATTTTATTCATATATACAGTAAAATGCTTTCAGTAGTATTTATCATGTGTTTAATGAAACATGTACACTGTTTGTTATTTGCAAATGTAAAAAATTAATAAATTATACATGTCTAAAAAGCCTTCTTTCTGCTGCTGTTGTTGCCACTGCATTGGTTTCACTGATATTGTCCTCACAGCGTAAACTGTGAGAGGTAGAGTTAGTTACCTTTGTGTACAAAGAAGGTTCATTCAGTGAAATTAAGAGGGACCTTGGCGCTACACACATTTGTGTTGTGACTCTCAGAAGCTCAAATTTCCCATTTGGATCACAATGAATAAGCTCTCGCTCATCACTCACATGACAAGTTCATCCTAGAAATATTCACATGATTGTCTCCTATTAAGCTGCTGTTGTCTTTTGGTATTAATGTCATTAAGTAGCACCCACAAGAAGAAGCCCAAACAAACACTAAAGACTACAGCGTTTTGCTCTTAAATGTCTTTGCTTGATTTTAAATGTAATATTTAAAAAGGGCCACTTTTTGAGAGATGTCCGCACTGGTTCTGTCACCTACTCATTCATGCGCTAGCTTGGTAATGCTGATATACATGATATATTTGGCAATATTTTGGGGGGGGGGTAGAAACAACTGGGTGTAGAGGTTATCTTATTGATTCAGCATGTAACACAGCGATCCACTCATTCTCTCCTCCTCTGTCTGTCTCCTTTGTAGTGGTTGCTGCTGATAGTTAGGCCCACAAAGCCAGTCATTGCTGTCACGCTGCCATAGCAACCAGGAAATACTCACCGTGTGTGAATGTGTGTGTGTTAGTGGAGATTGAGAGAGCAGAACGTGGTGAGTGGGAGTTGAGACGGACCACAACAACAGAGGGGACAGATTTTTCACCTTTGCCTTCAGTTCTACGCTTCATCTTCCACGAGATTTGTGAGTGACAGAGCAGTGTCTGTAATGTAATATGTGTTTGTGTTAATTAAGTTGTTGAGCAAGTGTGACCCAGAAATGTGGGTGTATCTGGTGTACGAAGATGGTCAGTAAATGCAACTTAGTGAGTATAGTTATGTGACTTGTGAGAACTCAAGAACATTGCCGCCTTGGTAAATTGGTGTATGTGGACTCCGGCAGTAACAGCTGCCACAGAGATGGCTGCCAGCACCGCAACCACGACTCTCCTGCCTCCAGTGAAGAGCGTGGTGGTGTACAGGAATGGAGACCCCTTCTACAATGGACGGAGGTTCGTGGTCAACCAGCGACAGGTGACCACTATGGAGGCCTTTCTGAATGAGGTGACCCAGAGCATCGGCGCTCAACTCGCTGTTAGGACACTCTACACCCCCAGACAGGGTCACAGGGTGTCAGACCTCCAAGACCTTCAGACCGGAGCGCAGTATGTTGCTGCTGGCTTTGAAAGGTTCAAGAAACTGGAGTGAGTACTATTTATTGTACTGATATTAAGGATCATTTTAATGTACAGTTCCTCTAATAAGAAGGCTTTATGTCTCTAAAATGAAATTAAATGAATTTTGAATAAATCCTAACATAGTTTTTTGTGTTTTTCTTTATAATGTCTGCTGTTGTTACATATAGTTACCTGAACACAGGAACGAAAAAGCAGCCCGCTGCCCGTGAAGAGACCCAGGTACGCTTTTATTTTCTCGTGTGGCCAGCTTGCTTTTAATGCCAGCAGCAAAGTCCATCACTCATTAATCCCAGTGTAGCCAGGAGGAATGCAATACTAGTAGGCCCTGTGCTCACATCAAGTTGATCCATTTGAAACTCCTGCCGAGACAAATATGAAAGTGACTGCAGGATTTACCATTACGGAGGCACAGTCATGTTTGCCTATAAATGTGACGACACTTTGTTGTGTTAGCATTAGTTAGGTTAGGGGCACTCTGTGTGCGTGTGTGTGCGAACGGGTCACCCATTGCACATTCCGTCCCATTGATGTCACTGGTTGTCATGTAAATTACTGTAAACAATGGGCTAATGATAGTGTTGTCTATCAGCCAGTCGCTCAGACCTTGAGGGGTGCCCATTGTGTGACATTAGATTCAGTAATTACAGCTGGATATATAAAAATGATTTCAAAAGTAACACACACAAGTATACAATAAGCCACTCATGCTGACAAGTGCTCGCTTTGAATTCTGACCAGCTGGCAGGGACGACCGCATGGGTTTTTAGACTCAAGAGTGTGCTCTTAGTCTTAAGCCATCATTGTCACTTTTCTGAAAAACCTAAAACAGAGCGGAGAGTAATTGTGTGCGCCTTTGTTGTCTGCCATTTGGAAAGCCGAGTCTTGGGTTTTTAAAGTCTTACATGCCTGTGTTGTGGTTGCTGTGCAGCAATGCAGGAAGTGTGTCCGTATGTGAATTGTGTTTTTATCCCGCTGGTGAAACAAAGAGTTGTGCTTCCACACAGTGTTATCAGGGCTACGTGCATGTCTGGGCAGGCCAAACATTCACCCCCCACCCAAACCTCCTCCTCTGCTGTGACGCTGTAAATGCATTAAATGTCTGCCACTTCAAAGTAAAAACAGTAAGGGAAGATTATCAATGTCAATGATATCAATGATTATCAATTGTCAAAACGTCACAGGCACTGGCTCCAGATTTTATTGATATGGGACAACATCTTTGGAGGAGCCCTTAGATCAGACACGGCCTGTGACTGTGCCATTGGAGAAGTCTGGGAGTGACGTTAGTTTCCATGACTGCAGCACTTGAGCTGACATGAGCAGAATAGTTAGTAAGTCATTACACATTCAGGATAACTGCTATTAACTGACGTGCCGGACACGGGTGACGTAAACCAGAATTTTCAATATTGCTGAGAAAATGACAACTTTATGATGTTTCACAGTACCATGCATCTCATTTTCTGCAGGCCAAAGTAACCCAGAGACCAAATGTCTCAGCCAAATGGAGAAGGTTTATACCTGTGCCTTGCATTATACAGTGAGTTGGACAAACTACATGCAAACAAACACATATAATTATCCTTTGAAAAATGTAAAAAGTTCAGCACAAGCTAATCGGCCTCAGTAGTCTAACTTTGTAAAATTAAATGGGTATCTTCCAAATGTACTGTTTTTAGTATAATTTACTTTTTAGCAAGCAGCATGGATGGGTTGCAATGTCAGCTGGTTGGTCGGCCATCCCACCACTTGGTCCAGTAGTACTGAACAAATTGAGATGAAATTTTGTATTGACATTCAGTATCCCCAGAGGATGAATCCTGCTGACTTTGGTGATGTCCTGACATTCTTTCTGGTGCCAAGTTCTCATTTGTCGTTTTGAGTGAAATGCCTCAACAACCATTAGATGGATTGCCATGAAATTTGAGATCACACATTCATGTTCCCCTCAGGAAGAGCTGTAATAACTTTGGTGAATCTCTGACATTTCATCTAGCACCACAACATCAGATCAAAGTTTAAACTGGTCCAGTACTTTGGTTAATGACCAAATACTGTATGACATTGTGTTTTGCACTAATTGGCAAATGTTAGCATGCTAACACATTAAACAAATATGTGTTAGCATTTCGCTTAAAGAGGACATATTATGCTTTTTGGCTTTTCCCCTCTCCTTTATTGAGTTATATACCTTTTTTGTGCATCTAACAGTTTTGCAAAGTGAAAAAGCCCCAAATCCACCCCAAAGGGAGTTCCTATCTCCCGCAGAAAACACTGCTCTGAACTGCCTGAAAACAGCTTGTTTGTAGTCCAGGCTTTTCTTCCGCTTTGCTGTGACGTCACAGCAAAACACGCGCTCTCTTCCAAACATTAGCTACCCTCCAGGCAGTCAATGGACGTAAAGTTGTTGCTGTGCTGTAGAGACAGAGCTCAGTTAAAACCTTATGGATGGAAGATACATTTGTAAGAGATTAATAACTCACCACTCTGAAACTCTTGCTCCAGTCCATGTCGCTTTAAAGCACTGCTGTAAGTACAGCCTCACAGAGCCGCTACCATGGCTGTAGACTCTTTGTCTTGTGTTACTATCTCACCATTGTACTGTCCAAGGAAACAAAAAGAGAGCATTTTGCATTAAAACCGACTGTAACTTTGGAAGATACTCCTCTTTATTTGTCATATTCAGAAAGCTGAAGTCTCCTAGCTTTGGCTGAACAGTAGAATTTTTGTAGATTGTATATTTTGTTCAGCTGAATAACATCAGGAAAGTATCTTGTCATGACCAGTATAGACGGGAGGAACAATTTCACCAACCAATAATGTTTCAGTATTATTTAATACAGAATTTTAAAAGTATTTTTTAAAATGTAAACCTATCCTTTCTGCTCAGTGTTTTCCGTAATGGAGATCTCCTGTGTCCACCATTCCGATTCATCATTCCCCGGACCATGCGGCAGGATCTTGAGCAGATCCTGAGTCTGGTCACAGAGAAGGTCAGCTTGCGAACCGGAGCCGTGCGCAGGTCAGTGACACACAGTCACATACACCCTGTGGAATAAACAAATAGAGATAGAAATCTTGTAAATAACTTCCTAACCCTGACTGTGCTTCATCAGGTTGTGCACTTTGCAAGGAGTGACTGTGTCCTCAGCTGTTGAGCTGGAGACCGGCCACTGCTATGTTGCCGTGGGAACCGAGAGGTTCAAGAAACTTCCGTATGTGGAGCTTTTTGTCTCAAAAGCTGCAGAGAGGTATTGTTACTCAAGGTCTTCTGAGTGCGTGTAAGCCGGGTATTTAAGGTGTATCTGTGCTGCCTGTTCTGCTTTGTAAAATAAAATGATTGCCAGATGAGAGAAGATGGACAAACAAATATTATGTGCACTTTTATCTCTCACTTTCTTCACATTCCAGTGGTTTTCTTTATTTTGTAGATATTACCCAGGAAAGAGACGGCTGTTAAGGAGAAATGAGGTACCACTTAATATTGTGACTCACTCACCTTTCTTTCATGTCTTCAAATATAGCCATATCATTGTTAAGCCTATAGTTCACTTGCGACATCAGGTCTGAGTGACAGCTGTCTTGTATGTGTCTTGTGTGTTGCTTTTAGAACAGGAAAGCTGGAAGTGGTCCAGAAGACCAGTACAGTGACTCAGCTCTCCTTGACTCCCCCAAGGTGAAAAAACAATCTTCCACTTCCTTTGTATTCACACTACAAGAGCTATATTGAAACTGTTAATTTGTTTGTTGCATGCAGTCGATACACCAGTGAGACAAACTGCAGAGGGTGCAGAGCATGAATTGACTTTTATTCAGTATCCCATGAATTTCAGTCAGATGGTCGGAGAGTGAAGTCGACAGGGGATGAAGCTGCAGCTCCTGCAGCCACACAGCAGAGGAGCAGGAGAGAAGAAGCAGACGAGACCTCAGAGTTCTTCGCCAGGCCGGTGAAGATCCGCAACAACAGGCGGCAGCCAAGACCACCCCTCAGCAATGGATCTGGTTGGCATCATCAGCTTTATCCATCTAATTCTAAATCTAACCTCCTCACATTCACTATGAGTGTTATTCATTTTGCTAATCATCATAGCAGCAGCGGCTTTTTGATTTCTATTTATCACAGTCCAGCCCAGCGTGTTTAAAAGAGCAGCACAGAAGAGAAGAGAGGAGGTGCGAGGGGCCGAGGAGGTGCATGAGGATGAAAACACGGCGACAGAGCTTCCCGTTGACCAGGTTAGCTTTACATTCCTCTGTGTCCTTTCAGCCCTGCAACTGCATAGTACAATGCTATAGTTACATGCTAAAATATCACAAGGAGGTAAATGAATGGCTATGAAAATATACGTTTAGAGGTAACTAATTTTCTTGTCTTCTATCTAGAGAGTTGCAGAAATAGTGGAGGATGAGGAACTAAACAACCAAAATGATCCTCTGCACAACACACAGCAGGTAGGCATAGATGAATTTTTCTTTATGTTTCATTTAAATGTGATAGCTTCAGGTGAGGTGGGAAGTGTACTGTATCTTTTTACATAATGGACAGACATTGAAGGTATAATTTAGAAAAGTATGGATTCCAGAAGATGGATGGATCCATGATGGTCTGGATGATAGCTAATTAATGTATATACAGGTGCTGGTCATATAATTAGAATATCATCAAAAAGTTGATTTATTCCAGTAATTCCATTCAAAAAGTGAAACTTGTATAATGTATACATTCATTCCACACAGACTGATATATTTCAAGTGTTCATTCCTTTTAATTTTGATGATTATAACTGACAACTAATGAAAACCCCCAAATCAGTATCTCAGAGAATTAGAATATTGTGACAAAGTTCAATATTGAAGAAACCTGGTGCCACACTCTAATCAGCTAATTAACTCAAAACACCTGCAAAGGCCTTTAAATGGTCTCTCAGTCTAGTTCTGTAGGCTACACAATCATGCGGAAGACTGCTGACTTGACAGCTGTCCAAAAGACGACCATTGACACCTTACACAAGGAGGGCAAGACACAAAAGGTCATTGGCTGGCCGTTCACAGAGCTCTGTGTCCAAGCACATTAGTAGAGAGGTGAAGGGAAGGAAAAGATGTGGTAGGAAAAAGTGTACAAGCAATAGGGATAAACCCACCCTGGAGAGGATTGTGAAACAAAACCCATTCAAAAATGTGGAGGAGATTCACAAAGAGTGGACTGCAGCTGGAGTCAGTGCTTCAAGAACCACCACGCACAGACGTATGCAAGACATGGGTTTCAGCTGTCGCATTCCTTGTGTCAAGCCACTCTTGAACAAGACACAGCGTCAGAAGCGTCTCGCCTGGGCTAAAGACAAAAAGGACTGGACTGCTTCTGAGTGGTCCAAAGTTATGTTCTCTGATGAAAGTAAATTTTGCATTTCCTTTGGAAATCAAGGTCCCAGAGTCTGGAGGAAGAGAGGAGAGGCACATAATCCACGTTGCTTGAAGTCCAGTGTAAAGTTGCCACAGTCAGTGAGGGTTTGGGGTGTCATGTCATCTGCTGGTGTTGGTCCACTGTGTTTTCTGAGGTCCAAGGTCAACACAGCCGTCTACCAGGAAGTTTTAGAGCACTTCATGCTTCCTGCTGCTGACCAACTTTATGGAGATGCAGATTTCATTTTCCTACAGGACTTGGCACCTGCACACAGTGCCAAAGCTACCAGTACCTGGTTTAAGGACCATGGTATCCCTGTTCTTAATTGGCAAGCAAACTCGCCTGACCTTAACCCTATACAAAATCTATGGGGTATTGTGAAGAGGAAGATGCAATACGCCAGACCCAACAATGCAGAAGAGCTGAAGGCCACTATCAGAGCAACCTGGGCTCTCATAACACCTGAGCAGTGCCACAGACTGATCGACTTAAGTATTGAGTGCTGTACATGCTCATACTTTTCATCTTCATACTTTTCAGTTGGCCAACATTTCTAAAAATCCTTTTTTGAAATATATCTGTGTTTGTGTAATGAATGAATATAATATCCAAGTTTCACTTTTTGAATGGAATTACTGAAATAAATCAACTTTTTGATGATATTCTAATTATATGACCAGCACCTGTATGCATTATGGTGCCCTTTCCTAGAATATAGCAGTAGACAGTTAAAATATGAGTGAAGATTATGTGACATTACGTGACATATTTTAATATGAAAATATAAAAAGGAAAAACGTTAACCAGCTCAACAACACACCCAAACCATTCCAGAAAGGCACTCCATACATTCCTGTGTCTAATACATACACACAAACATACAATGTATTTTCCTCATTTGTGTAGGAAGTGTAAATATTTAACTGTCACAAATGTCACACATATATGATGCTGAAAAAAAATATAAAACGTCTTATCTGTTTTTCTGAAGAGATAAAACACAATATAAACAGTGAGCAACACAATGAGGGAGAGCACCCACAAAAACACAATGGAAAGCAAGTACAGTATGTCTGAGGGGGTGATCTCCCACTGGTTATAATGCGTGTATGTCTCTTGAGTAAAACAGATAGGAAGTGTTATTTTTTTTATATTTACATAATCCCACTAAACGTGTGCTAATAAAAAGGTTCAGTTTTCTTTTTGTGTATCAATGGGATCAGAATGTAATATTCTTGTCTTGTCAAAGGCATCTGAGCAAGATGGTGTAAAACAGACTGGAATTCTGACTGAGGAGTCTGCTGCAGAAACACTGGTACAGTACACACACACACACACACACACACACACACACACACACACTACTAACTGCTTAGAACAATTTGGAACAGCTTACATTTAGTAATACGGTCATGGACATACAAATGTAGTCGGCAATCAATGTGTCTCTTATTTCAAAAGAAGCCTGAGCTGAAGCAGATGTCTTCAAAGTCAAGGTCTTCGTCATCCACCCTCAAAGAACAGGGAAGAAAAGGCATATTTACCCACCTCATGTTCTAAACCAGTTCTTATTGGCATCACCAGAACCAGGCTTAATGAAAATTTGTGCTTGATTCCGTCTTCTTTTACACCATTTTGATCATTTACTTCCAGCAGGAGAGGCCACATGACGCCCCATCGCTTACAGTAGAAGAGAACCATCATCAAGAGGACTGGTGAGCACGGAAGATTCATCATCACATGATGCCGCACGGGTACAGCAGATAACCAAGCAACTACTTCTTCTACAATGACCATGATGATGTGGCTAAATAAATGTTTGATTATATTGGTGGTACTTTAACTGTGTTAATGAGCCAACTGACAGCAACAATAATTTATGTTGTTAAGAGTCAAATATGTGAACAGACAGACAAAATCAGAACAAGCACTACAGGAGATGGACACACTTTCATAAGCTCTAGCATAATAGATAAAGATCCCCAGCTACAACTCCATAAACTGAACTCAAAAATGATCACACAGACAGAGCAACGCATTTCTGACGTTAGAGCTGTTTATGTTATTGTGTCTAACCTGTTTTTTGGAGGTTAGTTCTGATGCAGATATTGCGTAGCCTAGATGTTCAATGATGCAATTTATTCCATAAACAATATGTACATAAGAAACAATAGTTTGGGGATTTACTTAGATTTGCAGAAATCAGTGATGGAGATCATAAAACGAAGAGTTGTGTTAACAATTTATTTAATAAAATATTGGCCACATCACAAGCTGAATAGATGCAACAACAACAGAGTCATCCGTACAGTGTTTTGTGCCAATTATATACTGTGACAATAAACATATATATTACTATGTATATTACTGTTCTTATTCACTTGTTCAGACATGTTTTCAGAGCATGCAACAAGGTCGCTCACTGTTAACAACAAAGAACTTCAGAAACAGTGGTATATCTACATTAGTAATACATCATGTAAACAAGGCAGCAGGAGAAGAAGAAGAAACTAAGTAAATGAAAAACATCTTTATGCTGAAGCTAAACAGCAATTTGTCCCCTCCTGCATCCTGCGCTTCCCCAAACACACACACACCACAACAGACAGAAGGCAGCTGCCGTAAAATGTCCCTGTTAAATCAGGTCGGATCTAATTGGTCCATTTCAAACCCCAGCCTTATTTGTATGTGGTCTCTATAGCATTTATGCAGATGCTGTCACATAGCTGGGCAGAAGAGCTTAAAAGTTAACAACCACCAACTTCTATGCCTGCACCATAAATCTAGTCTAGCCTTGAGGTGAACCCTGCATGAACTCACTTCCCCCTTCAACATCGTCTAAGAGTTTCTGGACAGGTCTTTTGAAGCTCACGTCGACTTCATTTAGGCACTATTCTCGCACCAGAACTGTTGCTCTAAGGAGTCGCTGTCTGAATCTAAATTGCCCCCTCTGGTCCTGTTCTATCTCTGCTTTGGCCTACTTTCCTGCCCTGCTAAGGAATCACTTGGCAGGTACAGCAGAGTTAGTTTTAATTCTGATCTCTATTAGTGTTCCGACTGTCATATTCAACGTATTAGTGTGCCCGAAAGTCCGGCAGTGGCATTACGTTTTCCCAGAGAAACTTAAGACAGAAGTAAAATGCAAAGCACAAGTGCGGCATTTACTGGACAGACACCATGAGACACCAACACTAAACAACAACGACTTGACAGTGAGCACTGTCTGCCTTACATACACCACAACCATATAAAAAATAATAAATATTTACATAAAACCCAACCCCTTACAAAAATAGAAGACAAAGAATACAAATTCCCATCAATAAATCAACAACATAATCAGTTGTAATAATAATAAAAAACAGTGTGTGTATGACCAGCTGTTTTGTGTCAATTAACCCCACACAGATACCCAACAAACCTTTTAAAAGTAAAGAAACCCCTGGTCTTCATTACACAGTGTCTTTGTCACCCATGGAGCTTATAACACACAGAGTGATGCCAGCCATGGTAAGGAACATTCCCGCGACAGCTTCTGCAGAGAGTGAGGTGTGTGGGGGGAGAATGTGAAAGAAAATGAAAGTAAAAAAATAAATAAAAAGGCTCTTCTTAAAATACAGAATACATGCCAGGGCCCCATAATGCTTTGGCATGCTAGCAAAGTAAAGTCTTGCATATGAACATTGCTGAATGGATGCCCGAAATCTCTGAACGTGTTCCAGTTTGATCCTAAAGCTTGTAGCATCTTAGCATGCTCCATTTGTCCTTACGGGTCTCAATGTCACTTGAGTTTTGGAAAGGTGGTGCAAAACTTTTTCAAGCACTAAATTTTCTTCAGTCACCATCATCTTTTCTAAACATTTCTACCATCCTAAATGACAGCTAATCTAATCTAACACAGTTACTGGTTAATGTTGAATGATGCAGTTGAACAATGGCACTTATGAAAAAGTGTTCCCCCACTTGCCCTTAAACACCACTCACGTTCTGAAATCTACAGCATAACCCACTGTATTTTGCTATTTCATTAAATTAATAACAATTCCATCCAAAAACAACATGTTATTGAAATCAGTATAATATATCGGCCATTGAAAAACCCCTATCAGTTGACCACTAGTTTGAGCATCACCAAAATGAGTCACTTACGTTTGCCTCCAAACTCTTCACCTAGTAACTTGCCAGTGAGAAGGGTGCAAAGGAAGGTGAGAGAGTTGGCCACAGGAACAGCAAGCGATAACTCTGGATAAGCGAAGAGGAAACAATTGGATATAGTATTCTGCTAAAACATTCACATGCAAATCCATATGTCCTGCTATACATGGAATAAATGAAAAATGACCAGAAGTACGCTGTGCTCTTGATGGGGACTAATGATTTGTTTTTTTAAAAAGCCAGTTCCAGCAAGACCCATGTGTGTAAATCGATGTACGTATTCTTTGTCTAATGTTATCCAAGAAAATTGTTGGCACAGTCATTTACAAATTTCAACAAAACAAAAACCAGTAGAAATATCAGTTCTTTATAACTTAAGCTGCCACAATCAGGGCCATTTCTTACAGTGTGGTGTGGGGTCAGTTTAGAGCTGAAACAATGAAATATTTGCAGGTTTAAATGTGAGGATTTGCTGCTTTTCCTTGTCTGAACTTACAGTAAATTGAATATATAGAGCATGGCCTTAGTTAATCATACGCCCCAGCGGTGGTCCATTTAAATACATCTCCCTCCTCATTGATCCCACTGATTTGTTGCTATAAATGGTTAAATCTATGACGAGAGTTTTTCATGACTGACCTTTGCATTTTATACTGTTGGTCAGGCTACAAAAGCAATTTTATAATGTCAACTTGGGCTCCAGGGAATTGTGATGTAATAAAATAACCATTAGTTGCAGTACTAAGCCAGTTACAGTGGAATATTGGACCTCTCTTGACATGTACATACACTAATCTTCTTACTAATGATTTACTAATTACATTTAGTTGTCAAATGATGCTTACTTGTGTGGTAAAAACAAACCATTTAAGCCTGAACATTTCACCTCCACCATAGGCCCTTTTCACATTTTGACAGGTCAGTGGAAAAGCACAGGTGTAAATAATAAATTGAATAAGGGCTCAATTCCATTTTAGCTGCTTCAGTTTCAGGATCCCGGTATTGTGAATGCTGGTTCACTGTCATGACTTATTGAGACACTTGAATGCAGCAGAGCCATCGTTAATGTTATGAGTAACACCTGTGCATTTCTACCATGACAAATCATGTCTGCTGTGAAAGTGGCCTACTGCACACTGCATACCTGAGGTGTGGTGCAGGGTGGTTCTCTCTGGCTTTCTCCCACACTGATTATTAATGACATATTAATCATTAATCCTTGAATATTTTAGAAAGATTTAAGTTTAGTTAATAAAATGTTTAGTTCATAAATTGTTTTTTAGTTTATCCCAGAAAGAGTAGAAACTCTTAAAAATGCATCTTTGTTGTTTAAAAAAAAGAAATCAATACAGTGTGTGTGATTTCTGAGGGGGCAAGCAGGGCATACACCTCAGCATATGGGCTGAGCGAAAGAGCTTGTCACAGCAGACATTTTTGCTCTTCATAGCAGGAAAAGCACAGGTGTAATGACAACATTAATGATGGCTGCATTACATTTAGGTAAGCCCTAGCTCAATTAGACTAAATTTAGTGGCACACTTAATGGAACTTCTGAGCTATCATTAATGTTATTAGCCACACCTGTGCTCCCCTGCATTGATGAGTTAAAACATTAGCTGTGTTTAAAAGGCCTATTGACTTGCGTTGCAACTGAACCCATTATGCCCCTGTGGAAGTGTGTCTCTCACCTGTGGTGGAAAGCGTATAATAGTACACCAAAGAGCCACTCTGGTTCAGGAGAAATGGCACCAGGTACTGGGCAGCAACAGAAGAAAAAAAGGTGCAATTAAAACCAATGGTCAGGAAATGTAGTGATTTCAAATATGCACGCTGGCAAACAAAAACTGGAAATAAGGATTTACCTTGAGGTTTAGGAAAAGAAACTTGACCTCAGCCAGTAGCTGTGAGACTCTGTTGGTCTTTGTCACATTTTCTATCCCCGTTGTGCCTCTCTTCAGGAAAGGGTTAGTGCAACCCCACAGCACTGACACCAGCAGGAGACTCAGCAGCTCCACTGCAACACAGGACAGCCACCCTGTAACTTCATATTCTACGTATATACTACTAGTATTGGTACACAACTAATCATTTTACAACAATAACCGAGTCACGGCACGATAAAAACAAGGCAGCAGAATAATGCAGTTAGGACCTGATCTAACTTAAAAATACTATGAATGTAACTATCATCTTATTTAGCTAGTTAGCTTACATCCTTACAAATAGCTCTAACATGTTTATGAATATATATTAAACCTCCAAAATACAAAAGCAGTTTTTAAAATCTTGGTAGAGGATAGGTTAGCTTGTTAGCCACTTACCTACGGTCACCATCCTGATGTAACGTTAAACAGTCCCTGTAAAGTCGCAGGAAAAGGCTGTTTGTTTAGCTCAGTTGTTATTGACCATTATTGACATGGCCAGATTGATAAATGGCTTCAGACATTTTAATACCAGGACTTAAAATGAATTAAAATGAAATCCAAGCACCGATAGATTTTATGACGACAGTCTCAGTTGTAAACTGCAATATTTCCTCGTTCTTGAATGCAGCCTCGGGTTTTTTTAACATTATGGTACCAAAAGTTACCGGCTGAGGGCGCAATAACTTACCAAAACCATAACAACAATTATTCTAACCGCACAGTGTACACAGTGTACTACATGTGTACACGTGTACTAACAGAAGTATCCGAGCCTATAAGGTTATATGATGTTAAGCTTTCTTTCAACTTGTCCAGTGTCCAAATGACAGGTCAGCCACAATTAGAAATATTACATTTTATTTTCATCTCACTTAATTTAAAGTACCACAAACATACAAATACAAATACAGGGAGCAAAGAATATAAAGTGCAAAATCCTTTGGTGTCAAACTAAAAAGGATTTACATCAGTGTGTTAGGCTTACACCCAGATGTCTCTCAAAATCTCTCTCTATCTTTTTTTTTTGTTATACAAGGGGGAAAAATACAATGACATTTTAAAGATTTTTTGACAAAAAATAATCTGAACGAATATCTGATCAGAAGACAAAGACATAAATATTGACATATTGAAAAATCTGCAATATCAACATATTTTCCTCAAACGTACTAGTATCCATTAAACAATGAGTTAGCTTCATAGCTTCTCTTTGTCTTCTATGAAGTTGATACTAATTCTACATTTACTCATACCAATGTGGTCCTCCTTTATTATAGAAATGTACACACTTAAGACCAATGTTTTCAAGCCATTACAGTCTTTACCACACATTTTCTTTATTGCATTAGTTGTGATGGGACATCTGCTAAAAATTCAAACAGTAAGAAACCTATGGCCTCCATACTCTGAACACTGACTGTAGCCAAAAAGCAATTCTTCATATCAATATGTCATACAACATCCCTTATGAAATCCAGGGTATCTGTTATCAGTACAATTTTGTTCATTTTGTGCATTTTGTACACCAGGAGGACATCTTGTTATCCATGTAGTGACTAGCGGTGGCTCAGTTGGTGGAGAATGGCAGTGACAACACTATCGTCATGGATTGTGTTTCCACAGGATTCAGTCAACACACAGTATGCAGTCAGGGATGAAGGTAGCACATCAGTCAGTGCCTGTTGTGAGACTTGTCCACCTGCTATGTGTTTCCTAATGATGGAGGGTCATTTATGGTGACCACAGTGGATCCACTTGTGGTGTTGAATTGCTCTATGTGGTTTTCCTCCACTCTGGGCAGCCGGAAGCTGTTGTCTGAGCCTGGGATTGAATTGGCGATGCTGCCTGACACAGAGCTGACCCCCATGGTGCTCAGCGGCATGTTGCTCTGAGTTGTGGATTGTGACGTCTTCGCACGAGGTTTGGAGCCACCGCTGGCTCCCAGGACTCTGGATACATGTGTCCGCCTGGCGACGATTATACCGTGATGTTAGTAAAATTACTCACTTCACTCACATTATTAGCAAATTATCATGTGACTTTTATCTATAAGATATACTCAACAGTTACATAGACATATGGCAGACATTCCCTCTAGCCTTCTAACCTAATTTTTCTTGTATGCCTATTACTTCAAACACCAAAGATACCTGGGACAGTAGTTGTCATCAAAAATGACACATGAATGAAGAACCCATGCTTTACTATTAAGTCCGAGCCTTTTTGGCCATGGTCCCATAAAATGAAGCAATGCCTATATGTGACGTTTCATCATTCCATGTCCCATATCTTTTTTTTTTTTTAAATGAATGAACATACATTTTGTAATTCTCTCCCGCGTCTCGTTCATTATCTTGGGAGCCCTCAGATTCATGGTACGAGGGTCCAAACCCTCAGGTTGGCTGTGGCAGAACATTACAAAGTACGTTTGCTTTAAATACTGTAATTAGTATTTCCACTCTATACTACTTTGTACATCTACTTCAAAAAGAAATACTGAAAAGCTTTGTATAATACTGGATAGTTTTACCCTCACAGGCCTCTAAAATGATTCAAATACAATCCAAGAAGGAAACATCACAGGTCACATGTGTCCAACTCGTGGACATGTGTGGTCTATGAGTAAGCATTGCTGTAAGAATATGCTGATATGAGTTGATATGTTGAAATGATTTATTAGTCTACCTAATGTCAGAGACAGAGCCTCATAAAAAGGTTAAAAGCAGCCGCAGGTGTCTGGTCCTTCTTGAAGTGGATAAAAATAGCAATATATTTGTTTGACGGCTCGTGACATTGACTATGCAGCAATTTTCCTGTTAAACAGCATTGCGGCCCTACCTGTTGTACGTCTTCAGGATGATCAGGACAATGGTTAGAATGATTATGATACCTATGACAATGACAGCGATCATTGCCCCAGAACCTGAGAGACACAGAGACAGGAGGAATGAGTTGAAAAATTTGCACATCACATTTTGCACATTCCCTCTACTTCATGCGGTGCAACTTTATTTTGTGTATCCTCCAGAAGTAGTGTGTAGTAGCTTAGTAACGCCATCACTCACAGGCAAACAGAACATGGCAAATATTTCCTGTTAAATGCATAGGTGCCACTCCCCTACAAACCATCTAGATTATGCTGCGTGACGCAATAGGTTGTTATTTATGAGGCTTGGCTCATCAGGGACACTCTAAAGTCTGATGGTGTCCACAACAAACACCTCATTCCCAAGGGTGTGTCTTATCGAAAAGGGCAGAACACTGCAGACATGCGCCCACACATACGCAAACACTTGGGATATCCTTACTCTGGATGAGTACTTGTTCTTTGGACTTTGTGGTGGCGGTTGTGTTTGAAGGAACTGTAGTGTTGGTCACAGGTGAGCCAGTTGAGGCTTGCATCTTCAGCAATTACCTGCACAGACAAACAAACACAAAAAAGAACATGAGGGAAATACTTTTCCAGAATAAAATACTACACTCATACTACAGATTAAACAAGGAAAAAAGAATAGAATGACAAAAGTATGGGATTTGAAGTTTAGAATATCATACAGTATACAAACAGTAGGTAGGTGGCATTGCAGAGGGAGTGGGAGCACCACTCATCAGAACATCGTATATGAAGTACTAATCAGTGTCGACTTTCCTACTACAGGATTGACGTGCTGGCCAGATAATGCTTGTCATTAAGACATTTTTATGTACAGCCTTATACTGTACACTTGAAAACAAAAAAAAAACCCTGTACGTTTTCTAATGGTTACATCACTCATTGTGCGTGCAGTGAACTGACCTAAAACTGAATGGAAAGACATGATTGAACAACTTTGTGTTTGCTCTTTATCAGATCACGCAGCAGGTTCACGCTCTATTGTCATGTCTGCTAAAGCGTTACAAAAACATCTGTGGTTTTAGACATTTATCAGACAGACTGATGTAAGCCAGGACAGACCTGGAAACAATGACCAAACATGTCAGACAAGTACTTCCTTCTTGCCAATTTTGACACTTTTTTTCTCAATGTCAACTAGTCCCATGAAAAGACCAAAACCAACAATGAAATGATCATACAAACATGTTGTTTGTGTAGCTGAAGCCTAACATAATTTATTCCTCTGTGACCGATACCTCCATTGTTGTCCAACAAAAAATATTACAAACACCACTGAGCCACACTGTTGCACTGGGTGACACAGTCCTTCATTGCAATGATCATAGCTGATGGTGGTTTATTTTAAGCCATTCCCAAACCAATCTGCTGCTGGAAATATTCCCTACAGTATCAAATGTGTATTTATCTACCTCTGAATATAGTTCCCAACAAATGCACTATTTACCCCAGTTTGAGTAATGTTTAGTAAAAAGTACAGTGCTTGGCTGTTTTAGGAAATGACTGCTCCTTTTCTATTTTTTTAAATGAAACAATAAATTTGTGTTTTTTGTTTTAAGATTTACATCCTTAACATGAAAAGATGGACTTGGTGCTGGATGCTGCATGCTGTGTGGTGATGTTGGAAACTATTGGAAGGCAGACTAACGTGTTGTTGGTCTTTTCATGGGATTTGTTGACAAAAATTAAAATATAAAATAAGACCAGCCCATCCATCCATCCATCCATCGTCAACCGCTTATCCTGCGTACAGGGTCGCGGGGGGGCTGGAGCCAATCCCAGCTGACATCGGGCGCAAGGCGGGGTACACCCTGGACAGGTCGCCAGTCCATCGCAGTGCTTTGTTTATAAGTTCCATAAAAAATTTAAATGATGATTACATGTAGATTTTTTGCAGATTTTTCATCTGAGCCTTTGTTATAGAAATATCCTCCTTTACCACAATGGAGCCTCATTATGGGAGTTCCTCATCCTCCTTTTCACATAGTGTGACATAAAACAAAGAGTTGATAATGAGTCATTCAAACATGACTCAGAGGTGTGATCATTAATTATAAAAGCTGCCATCTTCATCATGTTCATCTTTAATTATATCACCACTAAGCGCAGTGGATTCTTTGCAAAAGTGTCTTTCTTTATGTTTCAATGACTAATCCTAAAATCATCCAGTGTGTTAACAACATTATTTTGTTAAACCACCAGAGAAATGACAGGCTTTGCAACTGTGTTGAAACTCTTATTTTGGAAGACAACTTTTTAATTATAGGAGACGGACGGAGAGAGAGCCATTGCATTAAAACATTGGCAATCTGGCGATTTTAGATTGAGAATGGATCCACAATCTACTTTTCAGGCAAATCGTAGAGATCACAGTATTTAATGTCCTCCAAACTTCATATAACCTCACTGAAATAGCAGATGCATGTTACATGAACAAACCAAAGGAATCACTCTTTGGCTAGCCAAGAGTACTTGAAAAGTGTCATTCTATGATTATGTTATCTTTTGGCGGAATTTACAACTTCAAATTAAGTTTTTATATCTTTAATGCAATGTTGTGTTTTACTGGTGCAAATGGAGAAAGTCATAGACTGGATCTACTCTACAGGGCATTTTAAAATTGAGAAAAAAGATAACAATTTAGATTGTGATTGTGATTAAATCAATTATGATATTAGTGTGATATTATTTTTGGGCCAGATCACCTACCCCTAGTTACAATTAAGACATGAGTTAGAGCAACATTGCACAGCGTCTGGGAGTGAAGCACAGCAGCACCATCAGGTACTTCAAGCGGACAAAATTTGCATCAGCTATAAAAAGCTGGAAACCCTGGCACAAGGAAGAGCTGCCCTTACTCCCATCCCTTGCAATCTTCCATCTCTAAGTTTGATTGACTGCTCTATTGATTACATTCAAATTCACAAGAAAGTATGCAAAACCTTTACATCTATAGCATCACTGTCTGTGAAGACTGATTAAGTTCATGACCAAGGCCGAAAAAAGATTAGGAACTTCACTGTTACAGTTCTGATATGTAGCCTGCTGTCACAAAGAACCTGTTATTATAAATGAAAAGGTGGGAGTTCAGTGGGAACGCCTGGCTGCTGAAAGAAACGCTGACATACTTCCTCCATCTCTCTTTCACACACACTTACAGTAGCCTAATTAGTTTCTGCCACAGATATTACCACTGTTCAATGAATACTTCTACAGTTTGGAAAATACATTTATAGGAAGACTGATACCACTCTCACGTCAGTACGATATGAAGCTACATCTAGCAGCCAATTAGCTTAGCTTAGCTTAGCTTAGCACAAAGGAAACTAAATTTACCTGCACCTCTAAAGCTCATGAACTTCAACTGCTGGTAGGCAGATTTTGTTACCTTCGAACAGAGCCAGGTTAGCTGTAAGAGTGGCATCAATTTTCTCATCTAACTCTCAGCAAAAGAGCAAATAAGCACGTTTTCCCAAAATGTCAAACAATTCTTCTAAAACATGCTTTCCTTCACTCCATGTATGTTTTTAATTAAGGTTTTATTTTAACTAGTACATTTTTATTTTCAACTCAAGATGTACTTTAACAACTTCAGTTTACAGAGGTTATGAGATTAGATTATTGGCTCCTTATTGAATGGTATCTGGATACTGTGTTTCAGCATGTAAATAGTGACTTGTGTACATAGCCTTAACCATTAATGCCTCTGAAATGTGCTTATCAAGGAGACATTGTGAAAGGACCATTTACAAACCTATGCAGTGTACACAGGCAAACTGCGCAACACTTTCCTGTAATAGGGTCAATAATTGTAGAAACTATTCCACAAACTAGGACATCGACTCTTTCAGATTGAGATGGGAGGAAAAACCAAAACAGAATCTTAATAAAAGCTGAAAATGTAGAGCAACTTGGAGGTAGTATTTGATTACTTTTGTGTACTGAATGTTTTATTCAGCTTTGCTCGACAGCAAACATTGCACAACCAACTCTCCCAGTGTTGACATACTATTAAGCATTGAGATTAGTCATGACATATATCATAGTGCTGTTTGCTGTGGTGACAGCTTCTGATAAGTGTCTAACTGATCACATGCTGTTTAAGGTTGATAACACCATTGCTTTGGTAACATGGTGGAGGATACGGCATGCAGCTGATGTTGGCATGGTAATGGAACTACCAGTAAAGTAAATATTATTTAAATAGCCCAAAATCTAGAATCACAAATTTTCTTGATGGGCTTTTGCACAGTTTGGCATTAAGGGCTGTATATGTATGTGTGTCAACTTATTTTACAGTTATCAGCCTTTTACCTGAATTTGTCAGTCAGTCCGTTGTTCACAGTAAATGTACAGTGAATATGAATATTCAGTATGAAGACTGAGGCTAAATCTAGCATTTAAACAATAAATCCAAACAAACACAGAGATGGATGTAAACACACTAACAAGACATCAATTACTACATAATGGGCTTGTGATTCACTTTTGTACAGAAAAGGACTGTGCTGATAAATGTACATGCACAAGATACATGTTGTTCACAACGTTATGATTTGAGTGGACAATATTGTACTTGTATTTATCAAATTTCCATGAGGCACTTCCCATAGTACAGGACAGAGATATATTTAGCTCGCTTTTTAATAAAGAAAAAGTCCATTACTTTAGTTTTACTTTAGGTACCAAACTAGATTTTTTTTGGCAGCAAGTAGTACAGCTGGAGCAATACTTGATCACCTTGTCACACAGTCAGAATCATGTCTTATAAAGAGAGGTGTGGTTAATTTGCTGATTAATAAACCGTTTTCTTCTTATAAGAAAATGGTGTATGTTATCATATTAGAAACGGTCCTTTTTTTACGACATGAACATTTTTATTATTACTTCAGCCAAACCTTTGGTCATGTATAAAAGGATGACAGAACAAGCTCTCCACAAGTATAAAACACCCACAGCCAGCTGGAAACTAGCCTTTTAAGGACAGTTTTGATTGGATCAATGAAGCTAATTTGATCATGACTTTGAGCTGCGCATCTCATGTTTTGTGTGCTTGTAGCTGTAGCCATAGCAGGAGCGCTGCCTCTGCAGAAGCCATCACTGCTATCTCCAAACAAGAACTGTCTTGGTCAGCGCAACACGATTCTGCCTAGGGATTATGTGTACCAGTTTTTATCAAGAAGAGGTGAGGGCATGATTGGAGTAAGCAAAAGATAGAGAGAGAGATAGTCTTTATTGTCCCAGGAGGGAAATTTGTTTTCACAGCCTGAATGTGTTCTAGCAAAACTCGGTTATTAAAAACTTAATTATCTGTCAACATGAAATTGCTGCAGTGGCACACAGTTATTATAACTGAGACACAATGTTGAACTAAATATTTGATTAATTCGCTGACGAATACATGCTGTTTCATCTCTTGGTGGATGTGTCAACTCTCACAGAATGAGGTGTGTCGTGGGAGCAGGGTAATGCACCAAACTGATTGCAGGTTAGGTTTGGGTGTAGGTTTGGCATGGTAGAGA